AATCGCTACACAAAATCTTTCATGTTTCAATACTATGATAGAACTTCTTCAGGCAAGGGTAAGTAATTGGTGATTAAATGATATTTTTTAAGGAAATTTAAAAACAAAGTGTTACATCTTTTCCGAAAGGGGAGACATAAGGTCAGAATTAAAAATAGTGGGTGTGTCTTGATTGACCAATTAAATGTCAGATCTACGCTAAATAGAAAAGTTCAGAGGATGGAGGTGGGGGTGTTATTTTTCATGTCACGATAAAACGGAACTAGAAATAGTAAATGAATATGATTTATTTTGAAGTAAAACTAATTTAATGAAAAACTTGCATTTAACAACTAAATTTTATGGAACATTTATGTACAATAACTCATAATAAACCAGTTTAAAATAGGTAATTAATACATTTAAAAAGTGCAGATTTATTGGATGAGAGCTCTGTGGTTGATGTTGCTCTTTTTGTTTGTCTTTTTTGTTTGTTTTTTTTTTATATTCGGCTCCATCGATACCAATGATAATCGAAGATCAATCCTTTTCATAATGCCGTGTCTATTACTATATTAATTAATTTATATTAATATATTAATATTTTATTTTATAAATATTTAAAATTAATATTTTTATTTATTATTAATATATTAAGTATTTTATATAATAATTTATAATCTTTATATAATTTCCCTTTATATATATAATTCTTCCTTTATATATATATATATATATATAGATAGATAGATAGATAGATAGATAGATAGATAGATATGAACAAAATGAGATAGATAGATAGATAGATAGATAGATAGATAGATAGATAGATATGAACAGATTGAGATAAATAGATTGATAGATATGAACAGACTGAGATAGATAGTAACATAGATAGATAGATAGATAGATAGATAGATAGATAGATAGATAGATAGATAGATAGATATGAACAAAATGAGATAGATAGATAGATAGATAGATAGATAGATAGATAGATATGAACAGACTGAGATAGATAGATAGATAGAAACAGACTGAGGTAGACAGATTACTAATATATTAATTTATATAATAAACTATAATCTTTATATAATTTCCTTTTATGTATAATCCTTCCTTTATATATCCTTCTCAGTTTTTATTCAACTTTTACAATCAAAACATCCGGTAGAATAAAAGGGACGCTAATTTACATCACTTGATCTTGTTTTCTGCTAGTTTTAGAGTTGTTTTTCTATTTTTAGTATTTTAATATGGCGTAGATTAGTGTAGAAATTCCAATTCTCAGTTGTAACAATTCTTCCAAAGTGAAATTGCACTATGAACCACTAAAATATTACCGTGGACTCCCAATTTGCTATTTTTGCGTGGCCCCTAGTAATGTCACATGCACCCCCGTGGTCTGTTTGGACCCCGGTTGAGAATTACTAATCTAAATGGAGATGGGAATGTGTGAAAAAGTGTCCCAAAGCAACTGAGCAAACAGACTCAAACTGTTGAAAAGTTCTCAGACCGACCAACAAGCCTTTCAAAAAAAAAATCCGATATTTCGTCAATTGGTCAGATTTGGGAAATTGGTTCGAGCTGGGTGTATCTCGTCTTATACGCCTTCGATCATGGAATTCAACGTAAACAGAACTGAAGCTCCGTAATAATTAAAATTTGACGCATATTCTTACTGTAAATTTTCATGAAACGAAACTGTTGTGGCTAAGTAAAAGGTTAAAGAAATAGCAAAACAAGTGTTGCAGATATATATTAAACAATAAGTACAGCAAAAGAGTATTACACGACTAGTAAGTGTGTGTCGGTTGACCCAGCGTTCAATCTATTCGACTGTTATATTTAACAGAAACGAGGGATGTATGTGGCACAAGGCCGAGTTTACCCATATACACCTTCGTGGGGGGGGCTGTTAAATATTAACAGTCGAATAGATTGTTCAACTGTCGAACTCTCTGCCTTTTTTAACAATCTATTCGACTGTTATATTTAACAGCCCACCACCACCACCATGAGGGATGTATGTGGCACAAGGCCGAGTTTACCGTGGGTTCTCCCGTAGGCTCGGCCAAAAATATTCCCTTAGAACCCGCATAAACGGGTTCAGGGCCTGTCTACCTCCCCGGACAAAACTTTGCCCTTCGGCAAAGCCTCACCCGGGTCCCTCTCTGCCGAGTCAGAGAGCTCGACAGTTGAACAATCTATTCGACTGTTAATATTTAACAGCCCCCACACGAAGGTGTATATGGGACAAGGCCGGTTTATTGTGGATAGTCTCGGCCAAAAATATTCCCTTTGAGCCCACCTAAACGGGTTCAGGGATTGTCTACCTCCCCGGACGAAACTTCGTCCGAGTTCCTCTCGGTCTTGGCAGAGAGGTCGACAGCAATGAACAGTCTGGTCGACTGTTATATTTAACAGCCCCCCAACGAGGGTGTATGTGGCACAAGGTCGGTTTATTGTGGGTATTCCGAGCCCGTAGGCTCGACCAAAAATATCCCATTTGAACCTGCCTAAATGAGTTTAGGGCCTGTCTACCTCCACGGCGAAACTTTGCCCTGCGACAAAGCCTCGTCCGAGTTCCTCTCTGCCGAGGCAGTGAGTTTGAAAGTTGAACAGTGTGGTCGACTGTTATATTTAACAGTCCCCCGCCACAAGGAATGTATGTGGCACAAGACCGAGTTTAATGTGGGTTTCTTCGAGCCCGTAGGCTCGGCCAAAAATATTCCCTTTGAACCCGCCTAGACGGATTCAGGGCCTGTCTACCTCCCTGGACGAAATTTTGCTTTGCGGCAAAGCTTCGTCCGAGTTCCTCTCTGCCGATGCAGAGAGTTCAACAGAATTGAACAGTATGGTCGACTGTTCTCCCAAGGCTTTCTCTCCTACTAATCTTATAATAGACTGAAGGGTCTAACATAGACTCTTTAGAGGGATGACACCACAACAGAAACCGTGCAAGCAAACTGTCTGCTACAGAAGGATACTGAGAATTCCGTTGACGGAGCGAGTAATCAACGAAAAAAATGGCAGAAAAAGAACACTTAACAGTCAGAGGGAAGGCACCTCGACGTGGAGTAATGGTTACGACTAAGTAGCGAGTTCGAGCCTCACTGGTTTCCCAATACTTACGGCTTTGTGCCAGAACTAAGCTACAGTTAGTAAATCACTATAGCGTACAGTGGTATAATGTTTGGCAAACTTGTCTCACTAGAGTGAACCTGTGAACACCAGCAATTAAGAGGTGGCTCCACGCTCCTCAAAACCTCCTAATCAAAGGCCTTGTTACCGGATGTAGTTTATCGTCTTACCCAGGACGCAGATGTAGTTTATCGTCAAACTCAGGACGCTGTTGCAAGGCCTAATCGAGTCTAAATAATGAAGCCATAAACCGATAACTTTCAAGTTTTTTTTTTTTTGTTGAGTTAAATCAATATTAAAACGTTTCCTTTAGTGCCGACTGCCATCGAGTAACGTAAACAAGCCTCATAGAATATGAATTAATATCGTGGGCCAGTCGATAACTAATCAACGTATATGAAAGATAAGCCAGTCCTGGCAAAAGACTAAAGAGTTTTAATTAATCAGAAAACAAATTAAAAGATCTTTCTCACTAAATAAGTAGTAGTAAACTACACTACCATCGTAGGTCACTTCAATGTACTGTGTTCCTTCAGGATGTGGGCGATCAAAGCTCTCCACAATGTCCTTTCTTTTGTAGTTCTTAGTAATTTTTTCCTTTTGCTATCTCACTAAATCCCTATTCTGTCATTTTTATATCTCTCCTAAACTTTGTTATGCCATCAATTTACACAAGCTCGTTAGGCAGGGGTTATGCACTGTTTTCTTCAGTGCCTCATGCCTTCCTGTGAGTGTCAAATTCTCCAAACCCTCTTTCCTCATTACGTGACCTAGAAATTTCAATTGTCTCTTTCTGATATAAATTATAAGTGCCCTTTTTGTTTCCATTTTCTTTAGAATATTCAGCCCATGGTATTCTCAGTATCCTTCTGTAGAGACACATTTCTTGCTTCAAGTTTCTTCTTCATCTGTGAGGAGATTGTCCTGACTTTCTGAATAATAAACATGAAAATTGATAAATATTTTTAAAAAATCGAAGGTTAACGAATCTCCGATCCAATGTCATGGCAATGGTCTTGAAATCTTAATTCAGAACTCAAATTAAAATGTAAATGTTTCAGGTTTGGTTGCGTGGATGGTGAAATCTGCGAGCCGAGTTCAAATTCTGGTCGACTCTGTTTCGTTCACTTTGTGCTAATTGGAAAAGACATTAATTCAACTTCAATCAATTACGTGTTAAATAGTAGGACAGATTAAGCTCTATTGCTATGTAGTAGTAATCAGTTTAAAAAAAGGAAAACTGAAGAGGGATAGACTCCGTCAGGTTTAGCGGGTCTTAGACACACCACTGTTGTTATGGCTGCAATATATGTGGTAGCTCTACAATGCTCAATGGTTTTTCTTAATAGATTAAAGGCAATAATGCCATTAAGACGCAGGGCGTTACTGGAAGTAAAAGAGACGAAGAATTAGAAGGAAGCGGAAACAGATTCCTAAACAGGAAACAAGGGATAAACCTCTACTCCAGTTCAAAAGGCCGGAGAGGTTTCATGGTTTAATTAGTTGAAATGTTCGCGGCTTTAAGGTTCTTCTTTATATTAAATAAAATCAAAATCGAAAGAAATTCAGGATTAATCTGAGAAAATAGAAAGAAAATATGTCCTGGTTTGGTTTTGATTAATTTGTTTTTTTTTACGACTTATCAACCCTTTCGAGGTTATTTAAAGCCGAAACATATTTTTGAATTGTAAGAATTTGGGGGAATAATAATGATTGTTTACTATTTAACCCATATCTGGGAAGAGAAGAGGTGGATACATACTTTTCCCAAGAGTATTTGCACGAAAATGAATATAACGACCCCAAGTCAAATTCGAACTCGGCACTCCGATTTCGCATTCCGAGCCTTTATCCATTGCATCATCCATATATCCAAGCTTACAGTACCTGGTATTCCCAAGTGGTCACTTATTTTGGTACTGACCAGATTCAATGTTGATTAACTTCAGTGATCGTACCGGAACTGGTGTTTCAATGTGATATGGCTGTAAGCCTGGTTTGATTTCTAATCCATGTATATATATATATATATATATATATATATATATATATATATATATATATATATAAAAAGCCGATTCAATTTGAGTGGACTAAAGGGTTTTAAACGTGTTAAAAAGTGATTCATCTGCCATCATCGGCAGCTAAAACGGTTCCATCGCCAGTCTTCTATCTGGTTAGGGTGGTGGGTAGATACCCAGCAGGATTCAAAACAAGATGGATGAAACTTCTGGTAGGGTCACAAAGGGGTAGGGTAGGATGGAGTTATTGCTTTTAACCAGTGAAGGTGCGTTGCGCACACACATCAGTCATAGATCGAGAAGCGGCTAGGAAACATGCAGCCCGTTCGGGATTGTCTGCCTTATGACTTTAAGGTGGGCTTGTCCGCAGCTGCATAATCGCCGAATGCGTCAAGCTAAAGTAATATTCTTATATACAAGTGTGTGTGTGCGCGGGCGCTCGCGCGTTTAAAGGGAGATATAAATGTAAATGTCGGTTATAAATATATACCTAGGAGAAATACTAAAGATATGGGAAGATTAAATTTTAAAATTTCTGCCGTCCTTCGTGTCTAGACACACAGCTCAGTCGATCTCATCCGACTTTTCAATGCTTTTCTTTTCGTTTTTTTTTTGGGGGGGGATGTTGTTTTTAAATACCCTACGTTACAACAACATTTGTTAAGAAAGGTGAAATGCTGTAAGAATCTAGACGTAAATTTACCGTGCAAAATTCAGAAATCAGTGCTCTTTCTATGCATTTTCTCCTTAATAAATAACATTGTCCTGATATATAGAAATTCGTGTATCTTATTCTCTCGCAGCCATGATATGAATTGATCAAACGATAAAATTATCTTAGCTCCACAGAAGAGTTCATTGGGAAAAATTAAACGTGAACTTTTCCTCAAGACTTAATTAATGGAATGAGTGCGATTGTCACTGTTTGATCGCCTATTATGTCTTTGTATCAGAGTCAGCTAAACGTAATAATTCAACAAATCTTAATTCCGAAGAAATACAATTTCTCTTTTCTCTTTTTCATTGAAAAGTCCATAAAAAAAACTTACACTGATCACTGAATAAGCGACAATAATGTAAAAAAAATACTTAAGAACAAAAATATAGCAGTGTGAGTAATATGGAACCACGTCACTATTATTCTACCTAACACGACCTCTACCCACTATGTACACGTCTTCGAAACGTATGCGCCCGCAAAGAAAGAAAGAAAGAAAATGAAGGCGTAGGAAGCAAGCACACACACACACACGCACGCATGCGCGCGTACAAAAAAGTCGCATATCACATGTAAGTAGGCGGACGCTTCGATGTCATAAATTCAATCTCTGGATTTTTCTTCGACTGAACTGACGTACTAGATGTCGAATCGGCGCTGATTTACTGTCGCCCGAGGTTTGATGATATCACAAAAGGTCTCGAGTATAGACAAGAGCAGTATACAAAACGGAACGCTGGTTTCCGGACTGCATATGTAAGGTATCTTTTTGCCTGCAGTAATGTGGCAATATTAACTGGGCAAGGCGTTGCTGTTGCAAGCGTTTCAGTTTGGTTAGATGATGCGGCTTGCGTTCCGGAATTCGCTGACCGTCTTGACTTTAAATGTAATTTGATAAATTAATTCCCTCAATTACTGTCGTAAAGATTACACTTCACTCCGTTTTATCTTGTCTCATCTTCTCAATGGATTTTTTCCCCTTTAATACAGTTGTTGCGTGCTCAGCTTTGTTAATTTCAACATATTCTTGTTTTTTATTTTATTTCTTTATCTTCCGATAAAGTCAATCTTTATAAAAACTAGTGTGCGTTGCAAAACATCGTACAAAACACGTCACACTATGTTTTTAGTTTTCATTGCCTATATGCGATGAAAGCCGGCTTAAATTTACGAGAGACACCTGAAGTATGGATGACTAGAAATTGGCAATTGTGTCGGAACAAGAGGTCGTAGTTTTCCGCTGGCTTTAAATAACATATTATGTGAATTTATATTGTAATTTTAGCAATACCAAATACAGTAGAAGTCTTGATATCCGAACTTCATAGTAGTTCGGATATCAAGACGGGTTCGAATATAATATGACATGTGTAATCTAAGTATAACTTAACAAAACACAAGTACTTATCGCAATAAAAATTAAAAATTACGGTCTCTCGAAAGTAAATATTAATTTGCAGTGTTTAATGCTTAATAAGTTTTATTTTCAATTGTCTTTCTTATGTCATTTCGCTTAATTTTCGTTGTCTTTTTTAAAGTATTGCATTTCTGCAAATTACGTGAACTTTTATATTCTGTACGAGAGAACAAAGATTTTTTCTCCGTTTTATTTCATTCATAGCTTTCTCTACTGAGTCCTGGTCATCTTCATCATCGTTCATATTTTCACCATTATCGGAAAAATTTGATTCTTCATCTATTTCTTGACAATCCAAATTCTTTTTAAGCGATTCTATCGTTGATTTCTTTTAGCGTCTTTATTTATCCATTCTTTTCATCTATCCGAAGTGAGATTATTCAGTGGATCATCTTCAAGCGCGAGTTTTAGTGCTTCGTTCAGATTCTGCAATCCTTGTTTGTTAAATTGAAAATTCAACGAATTAAGAGCTTCGTCCAGTTTTTCAATAATCTCTGATTTGTGAGGTAACGTAAAAGAATTTTTTTTCCTTTTTCTTCCAGGTGAAGTTTCTTCTTTGCGAGTCATTATGGGTTCAAAAATTTCAAGTTACTAACAATTCTCTGCAAAGAAAAGAAAAAAATAGAATGTAACATATTCCTACATCTAAATAGCAACACTGAGAAGTTCGGATATAAGAACGTACGGATATACGAACGTTCGGATATACGAACGTTCGGATATGAGAACGAAATGATACTTACTAAATATTATTGAACATAAAGGACTATGACAATGGAACAAAATCGATAGTAGTATATTTATTTAGTAGATTAATTGATTCGTGTTCTACGGCTTATCGAACCTTTACAGGTTATTTAAAGCCAGAAAGTATTTTCAAATTGTAAGAAGTTTTTTGTACATAATAATGATTTAGTGATACAAGTCTTACTAATAAACCCATAGCTGGGGGAGAAGAGATGGATTCATACCTTTCCCAAAGGCATTTGTGTGTAAATGAATTAAAAGAATCCAACTAAAATTATAACTCGGATCTCCAATTAACACTTCCGAGTCATTATCTATTACACCACCCGAACACCCAAGCTTAGAGCATCTGATATTCTCAAGCGGTAACCCATCCAGGTACTGACTAGGCTCGATGTTCCTTAACATTGGTGATCGTAAGGGAACCTTCCAATCCCACAAGATGGACTGCATTACTTCCTTCGAAAGCAAACTGGCTTTAGATTCAAATTAGGGCGTGTAGTAAGATAACTTAGCCAAGTACTACTAAATTCTTCCAGGTTTTAAAAGAGACGTGAAATCTAGCGTTGACATTTGGCTGCTGACATGCACTCTAGTAGTCCAGTTGCTGATAAAACCATTCTCCACGCTCCATATGGATACTCCTGGGACCACGTTTTCTTTGATTCTTAGATGGGGTACGGCGGGCATAGTAGGATAACTTAACCAAGTAGTACCAATTTCATCCAGGTTTTCAAACAGACGTGAAATCTAGCGTTGGCTTTGGCTAGTCACATACGCGCTAGTAGTCCAGTTGCTAATAAAAAGATTCTCCACGGTCCGTATGGATACTCCAGGGACCTCGTTTTCTTCCATCGTTAGATAGGGTACAAAGCGGTATAGTAGGATAACTTAACCAAGTAATACAAAATTCTTCCAGGTTTTCCAAGAGACGTGAAATCTAGCGTTGAACTTTGGCTAGTGACATAAACGCTAGTAGTCAAGCTGCTAATAAAACGATACTCCACGGTCCATATGGATACTCCTGGGACCTCGTTTTCTTCCATCGTTAAATCGGGTACGGCCGGTATAGTAGGATAACTTAACCAAGTAATACAAAATTCTTCCAAGTTTTCGAAAAGACGTGAAATCTTGCGTTGAACTTTGGCTAATGACATATACGCTAGTAGGCCAACTGCTAATAAAACGATTCTCCACGGTCCATATGGATACTCCTGGGACCTCATTTTCTTCCATCGTTAGATAGGGTACGGCCAGTATAGTAGGATAACTTAACCAAGTAATACAAAATTCTTCCAGGTTTTCCGAGAGACTTGAAATCTTGCGTTCAACTTTGGCTAGTGACATAAACGCTAGTAGGCCAGCAGCTACTAAAACAATTCTTCACATTCCATATGGATACTCCTGGGACCTCGTTTTGTTCCATCTTTACATAGGGTACGGCCGGTATAGTAGGATAACTTAACCAAGTAATACAAAATTCTTCCAGGTTTTCCGAGAGACTTGAAATCTTGCGTTCAACTTTGGCTAGTGATATAAACGCTAGTACGCCAGCTGCTAATAAAACAACTCTTCACATTCCATAGGGATACTCCTGGGACCTCGTTTTCTTCCATCTTTAGATAGGGTACGGCCGGTATAGTAGGATAACTTAACCAAGTAATACAAAATGCTTCCAGGTTTTCCGATAGACTTGAAATCTTGCGTTCAACTTTGGCTAGTGGCATAAACGCTAGTACGCCAGCTGCTAATAAAACAATTCTTCACATTCCATATGGATATTCCTGGGACCTCGTTTTGTTCCATCTTTAGATAGGGTACGGCCGGTATAGTAGGATAACTTAACCAAGTAATACAAAATGCTTCCAGGTTTTCCGAGAGACTTGAAATCTTGCGTTCAAATTTGGCTAGTGACATAAACGCTAGTACGCCAGCTGCTAATAAAACAATTCTTCACATTCCATATGGATACTCCTGGGACCTCGTTTTGTTCCATCTTTAGATAGGGTACGGCCGGTATAGTAGGATAACTTAACCAAGTAATACAAAATTCTTCCAGGTTTTCCGAGAGACTTGAAATCTTGCGT